TCCTGGAAACTTCAGTCAGTGACCAGGGCTTCTTAGGGTTTGATACCACTCTTCTACACAAAGCAAAAAAACCCTTTGGCTCTTGTCAAACAAGTAAACCAGCCAGATTCCTGGGGTTGCTGGAGATAAGACATGGAAGCCACAAGAAATACAACTTCATATTAAAAAGAAGAGTGCCTGGTGCCCTGAAGGCCTCTTGTCTAAGATCACAGATTTATACAGTGCTTTAGCCTTTGATTCACTTGCACAGTTCTCTCCCTCTCATTTTTATATGCTGCTAAAGACACGGATTTTAAAATCACTGTATAATCTTGACTTCTGTCCCAGCAGGAAAGGAGCAAAGCAGCCAGCAGACAAATGCAACTTTGGCTCAACAGAAGATTCGCCTTTGCCAACTCCCTTGGGTTTTGTTCTCCCTATAATACCCATCATCTCACTTTTCTTTTTCTTTTCTTGACAGGGTAGTTTGGCTAATTTGAAGATAGAGTTAAATGTAATTAACTGGCCCCCTAACAAGAGCGTGCCAATTTAATTGGTAGGATTCCCTGTAGGGAAGGCATTTAATTAGAATGATTGAATCCCTGTGAGGAAGCCACTGTCAGAGGCAAACCAAAACCCCTTTGCTCAGCACTTGCACAGTTTTGGTTTTGCGTTCTCCCTTGTTTAAATGTTCTTTATTCCTCCAGGGATGACAGCAAGTCTTCCCCCTGTTCCAAAACCATCAAACTCCCTTGGGCTTTAAGCACTGGGGAAAGTCTGGGTACACATTAAAACCAGTGGTGGGACTCAGAAAGGAGAGTGTATGGTCCAGACGACCAGACGCTGAACACCCAGCTTGAACCAGACTCAGCTAAAATCTGAGCCGGTCTGAAAAATCTGCTTCCAATTGTGGGTACTCTGTCCTGCTGAAAACTCTGCCACGTGTGCTACTGCTGAGCGCCATAATTCAAGAAGGCTTTTAATGCTGAACAACTAAGACGTGAAACAGAGGCATCATTTAAGCATCATTTACACATCATGTTTTGAAGAAATACTTTAATACAGTTTTAACGCTATCTTCTGCACTTCCTTACAGTAGCCACAGCTCTGCCTGAATGTTCTCAGCGCCAGAGGCTCCATTTTAATATTGGACTTCTGTACACACATCCATCAGCTGAAGCAAAAGTCCACTGCATTCCTGGATTCATTACCACAGCAAGCACAGTCTTAAGAGACTCTCGCTTAGGCAGAAAGAAATCAGAAAAGTAAAGTACTATGGAAGAAGCCCAAGAACAACAGAAGTATTTGCACAAGTACTAGGGCATGTGCCCTGGTAACACATCAGATTTCCTTCTCTTCTCCCATTGCTCTTCAGTAAAGCTCTTCTTCAAACTCTAGCTAAAAACCCAAATAGCAGGAGTGGAGAACACATGCTGGGAATACCAGAGCCTTTCAGAGCAAAGGGCAGACCGAAACGCTGCCAGCCCTTTGGTCCCATGGGACCAGAGATGCCTCGACACCCTGAAGAGGACTGAGATTACTGCTGTTGTTATAACAGAACCTAAGAAAACCACTTAAAGGTGAGGTCCCACTGCGCAAGGCATCATCTTTGCAGACTGCAACAATTGCTACCCTAAAAACTGTGTAACCAATGGTGCATTGCTGTGAGCCCTAAGAGTCAAATTCGTATCAGCAAGACTAGGCACTACATCTCCCAGTTCCCATTCCAAGGGCCAAGTGTCTACACCAGAGGGATTTCTGAAGTTGCCTATTTAGCTATAAGCAACAGAAAAGGCCTGGTTTTTTTTAATGCTTACAGAGCTTTGATGTGAGTTGTTCCAAAATGCTGCGGTAATACTAAGAACATGAATAGAAAGAAGGCTGTGGAGACTTTTTTCCCTTATGTAAAAATGTATCTGATGCATCAAGGAAGAAATTGGAAACTGCTCAAAACCCCTGTAGAGAAAGAAAGTAATTATAAAACTAAGGATGCAGTGTGTGCACTCTGCTGACTATGACACAGTATTATTAGAAAAGAGAACACATTATTAAAAAATAGATCAGACTCAGAGCCATATGTGCTAGTTGACAGATAGACATTGTTAGTGATTGTGTCTGTGTAACTACAGGTCTACTCCAGTAGCTAGGTTCTGCAATCTTTACTCAGGCAAGCTGTTTTTCATGCCAGCATCTCCAGACAGCATTTTGGCCCAAGCAGGGGACAGAAGAAAATTGTTTCTGTACACACGAACACAGCTGAGGTTCCCCCCAGTCTGTGTGCTCAAGCATTAGGTGACAGCAAACCTCATATGCACCAAACCCATATATTAGTGATGGATGCAGCAGAAGAACATACAGGCTGGTTTTTAAACAGATTTGCTTAGTGGACTCTGGCTAGATTATGCTAAAGTTAAAAGAATGACCAAGTGTGAGCCATGCAACACCTTTCTGTGCATTAAGAAGTGTTAGCCCATAGCCCCATCTTACTGGAAGAACTCCTGGTCTGAGATAGTGCTTGTGTGCAAGAGGTGGTTGAGCCCTGCATGCGCAGAATCGCTCGAGCAGTTCATTTCTCCATCCTTTCCCTGCTTGGAGGCACTGAGCCTGAAAAGGCTGGAGCAACGCAGGGCAAGTTCCAAAGCATCCAGCCAGCATCGGCCTGTGAAAACAAAAGGAATTATTTAAGCACAGGAGAGTAAATAAGACAATTCATGCATTGCTTCTCAAAAGCTTCTTGCCTGGGAGTGAAGCTCATTGTAATTCAGGAAGTCGCTGTGTACAATAATCTATTTTTCGTATATATAATCCCTAGGTTATCTTGCCAGAAATGGTGTGTTTTAGTGGCTGCATGAGTGATATATCTGCATGGGTAACACAGTGGGAAGCTCACCCCAACTTCCCCATCCCTAACAGCATCTCTTCCTCTGATGTCCCACAACCTGTTCACATCCCCTTTTGCCCCTTTCTGATTTTGCCCGAGATGCAGGAAATGTATACAGGTATGGTGCTTTCAAACCACCTAGCAGCTCATGTCTGCAAGTAATACACCTCGAAAACACGTTCAGCATTTGGCATCCCCACCACACACACCACCCAACAGCAGGGAGATACCGAGGCACTGCACTGTGCAGGAGAGGCCCCTGCTTGGTATGGGATCACTGAACTACAAGCCGGCTTGGGGGTCCCATGCAGGGTGTAGTGCTGCAATAACAATCACTCTGAACAAGAGCCAGGATGATCAATACTTGCCAGAGTAATTAAGACTAGAGGGAGCTGCTTGTCAGTCTGTTTATTTTTCCTCTTTCTCTGTATTTTTTTCCCTTTTCTCCATTCCTTCTCCCTGCCCAGTCCATCGGATAATCTGGGTGGAGCATCAGTGTTTCTTATCTTGTCACAAAAAATCTTTACCTGAAGGATCTACTTTGCGAATACCAGAAACTATAAGCATGGCGCAGAGATGAGACCAACTGCAGTTCCTATGCACAGTCTCACTGGATTTTCTTAAGGCCTGCGTAGGTCCCACCAGCAGGCAGCAAATGAAAAGCACAGGAATCTAAACTGACCCTTGGCTCCTTTTGCAATGATCCATAGAAGTCTACAAAACTGTGTGTTAGCATTAAAGCCTAACCACCACAATGCTGGAGTCGTCGTGCTCTTGGAAGCACCTGAAAATAGCCTGCTTCTGTAGCGCAGTCATTAATGAGGCCAGGACACATGCAAGTTGGCTGAACATTCAAGAATTGAAGTATCAAGGGAGTTATCCTCTAATTTCAAGCATGTAAAACAGAGCTCTTCATTACACTCCTCAGAATATATTTTGCAATAATTAGAAGTGTGCTTGAGAGGTGGTGAAGAAAACAAAAGGATTTTGCTTTAGCAATGACAAGCGCTACAAACAGGTTTTCGCTGGACCACATTCATTCCTAGGTCCCATGTGGGAAATGTTTCCATTACATTCAATTCTATCACACACTTAGCATCAAGCATATGCATAAATCTCATGGGGATCCTGCTGTTCTCTTGGGCAGATTTCCCATCAACTTCAATATAACCAAAATTTGGCTCTATCAGAAGATCAACGAGAGTTTAAAAAAAAAAAATCTAGATTATCTGTATATAAAGAAATGTTTATAAATTTGAGTAGCTTTCAGTGCTTGCTTTGATACAAAGCTGCAACCAGTAAAAGAGAGAAAAAAAACCAAAACTTTGAAGAATTGCACTTGAACACTGAGCCACAAACACCACAGAGCCGAGTCAGTTATTCTAATTTCATCCCACAAACTCCTTCAGCATCAGCTTATGATTTAATAATAAAATCACACATAACAGTTAATAAAAGATTAGGTAGGTCGAAGGCTGTTGGAATTGATTTCACACTATTTTGTATTTAACAAATATTCTTGCATTAAGGCTTTACATGCAGAGATTTATTCCCTTCTCACCGTGTGGAGGATTTGCATGAATAACCCATTAGAGTTAATGGCTGCACTGAGCAGAAATCCACTTCCTCCTACATATCCCCTCTCCCCCAAACCCACCAAGATGAAAACCTCTTTCAGGCTATTCCATACAAGGGAGCACACTCCTGCTTAGGCTTACCTCCTTTGACTTTCCTCTCTCTTTACCTTTGCTTTTCTTTTCCAGTTCTGCAAAGTGAGGACTGCATGATTTGACATTTGGAAATGCTGCATATGTCAAGATATTTTTATATTCAACGGGCTTGTAAAATCAGGTGCTATGATAGGTAGCTTGATTTGTAGCAGCATGAGCAGTTTGGAGCAGTAATGGAGGTCAGCTCCTCAGCGCCCTGCAGCGCTCATGTATAGACATTATCTTATGACGGTTACGGCAATGCACAGGCTACATTTATGCTTTCTAATGAGGGCAGCAAGGGTGACCCCAAAGTCCCCCTCAGCCACCCACCGCCACTGCCACAGGTATTCACTGGTAGTAAGATGAACTTACAGACTTGGTCAAACCTTTGGGGTCCACCACATTACCAGAGGAAATTTCTACATAACATATCTAGGTTTTTTATCTCTTTAGATAACTCCCTGGAAGGGGTTATGAGTAACTTTAATCTTTTTTGAAACCTTATTCAAGGAGCCTAAATTAAAAAAAAAAAAAACAAAACCAATTAAATATTAATTTTAATATTCCAAGGCAGATACACAAAGCTTTAGAGGAACTCGCTGTGCATTAGCAGTCAGCATTACTTGTGCCCCGCAGAACACAGAAATGGCATCAGTGTACGCCCTTGTTTTCATTTCTAACAGAAATTGAATTCAAGGGACACACAGCATCGCCAAGCTAAGAAATGGGCCTTCAGCCATCAGGTGGTGCTGTGAATCCAAACAAATATATGCCACAAAACCAGCGTAAAATATGAGATTTCCTCTGCAAATGAAAAGGTTATATTCTCTGCAAGTCAACAATGTGTTAATTGCAGCATAACACCGTAAAATTATACCCGCTCAATTTCAGGGATTGCACACAAGATAAATCCGTTTCCTTGCTAAAGGCCTACATGAAATGTTTTTACATTTGAGCGATCTTGCTATTGACTAATATTCTTCTTTACTGTGAGAATGATACAAAAATACTAGCATCTGATTTACTTAATTGCTTACCTGACAAGTCTACTCACTCCCTCAGGAACTGCAGAAGGGGGAAAAGGTATGTGGTCACATAATTAAAGGCTGTCATCTATAGTCATGGTAGTCTGCATGAAGGCTTCATGGTTACCCTAATTCTCACATTTTCTAATTTTGAGTGGTTGACTCAAGTCAGGTTTTTTTGTATGCAAGGTAATTAGATCAGAGAAGGATGCAAAATGAGGGTTCCTTCAGAGAGGAATGGCAGCCCAATATGATGCATATAAAGGAAGAAAAAAAGAGCTGCAAAGGAGTTACAATGGTATTCTTTCAGAAGGTTTGAGGTTTTTAAAGCTGAATATAAAACACTGCAATCAATTATCAGTTATCATTTTCCATAAATTGTGGCTTAAAACAAGCATACATTTAAATTCTGAAGGAAAACCCAAGAGCGTATTGTCGGCCTATGGCAGAATCTCCCCATAGGCTTTTAAGGTCTTTTTTTTATCTATCCACCACAATGATTACTTTTGGACAATTTCTGCAGAGTTCATGTTGTCTCAAAAACACCTGCATTAGCTCCTTCTGTTTGGGAGCTGTGAACTAAGTATTCCCTTTCAAATGTTATTTCTGAGCTTGATGCTTTCTTCATTGTATTTAGCATTTTGTCATTGACTTCGAAGGGGAAGCCCGCCGAGTAAGCTCTGGATCTTACCTGGGCTGCGGAGGGGGAAGGATGGAAGAGAGAGAGAGTAAAATAGTCCACCCACGCATAATGCTCCCATCTATCTCACAAGCCACACAGAAGGGTTTACAAAGCTCAGCCACAGAAATCTTTCACCCAAGCTAACAGAGTTCTCTGTGAGGATAACGGGGAGAAATGACACCCCGCCCAGAGAAGATCCTCAACTCTGATGTGCAAAGTCAAGTCCAGCTAGATCACTCATGCTGGCAGCCGGCACAAGGAGGACATTTCACATCACCCATCTTTCGGCACCTGAACTGTACAGGTGGGTGGGTTGCCCAGCCACCTTTGGTTCCCTCCAGGAATGATGGGGAAAGTGTGAGACTCTGTGACAAGGCTGTTCCTAAAACGCCAAAAGCGGATGTCCTACCAGAGTACTAGCGCTAGCTTGGGTTCCTGCTCTCTTTGGTAGCAGCCTCCCTCCTTGCACTGATCATTGGTTTCAATATCCATTCCCTACATCATTTTAGCAAGTGATGATCACAGCATTTGGCACGTGACAGATGTCCCGGGAAAGTGGGATGTCAGGGGAACACATCTGCACATCACCCAGCTGTGCTCACTGGAAA